AAGAGACAGTCAGAGCTCCAAGAAAATGCTGTGCTGGGCCTTTTGGGGTTTTGCACACCACCCCTGCTGGCTGCCTCAGAGAAGCAAGGAGGTTCCTGGCAAGACCAAAGAACCAGCTGGAAAACTGTGGAGCTGAGGAGGGGGTAGGGATGGGATTGGAGAGGGCTGAGCGAAGCCCTTTTGGGTATTCTATGCTCAGTGTCTGTGTGGAGTAAGTGGAAGGCCCTTCCCAAGGACAGAAACAGTCCAGAGGTCCTGTGAGGGTGAAGCACAATCGCATGCTATTTGTAGGGTTTAAACAGCACAGGAAGCAACCTCCTGCACGGCATTATGACAACCTAGCAGAACAGCCTTGCCATACATATGCAAGGGAAAGAAACACTTCTGTAGTCCTTCCCACTGTGCCTCAACCTCCCTGTGAATAAGGAATGTGAACAGTGCCTACCTGTTGGGACCAGGGAGAGGATCTCAAAGGTCAAAGGTCATATGGAGATTCTGGAAAGAGGGAGGGTCTGACTAGGAAGTCTGGAAACCATTGTTTTGACTAGAAATTGGGCAACTGAAGGCAAAACCAGATATCTGTAAATCAAGGTATCCAATTGGCAGTTTGATATTTGAGATTAATGGCACTGATATTGCTGACAGGACACTGGATCTGAACAAAAAGTCACACAGCTGGGGTGCCAGAAGTGTCCTCTCAGCCTGTCCTGGAAAAGCATATGATCACTTGATTCTGAAATTGCCTAACAGAGCTAGGGATGCCCACCGTGAACCATCTCATCCAGGCATTATCAAACACTATAGGGAAAAATAAATGCCCACTGAATCTTTGTAGCTGGATAATAGAGTCCTCTAATATAAGGCACAACAAACATGTCCTCTTTCTGAGGGTGGAGAATTCAGTCAGGCGACTACCTGGACCACTCCACAGATGGACACCAAGATCATCTGAAGATACTCTGACTCTTGAATCTAGTGGTTGACAGATACTCACAGAGGCTAGTGTCTGGGGTATGTCTGTCTGGCCTTTCCATGTGGTCTGAGTGCTCTGGAATCATGGTGAACAAATGGAAAGGAGACTGGTTCAGGTAGAAAGAATCTAGCCACCTTCACTAGCCTAGCACTGGCAGTTGGGAAGCACCTGTCCTCCACACTGGACTGTCTGAGATAATTACAGAATCTGCCCTGGCCCAGGATGCAGGACCCTGTCACACTATGCAAGAAGATCGTGTGTGTGTGTGTGTGTGTGTGTGTGTGTGAAACTGATGTGACAACTGTGGTACTTGGAATGAAAAATGTTCCTGTAGTTTCATATACTCCAATACTTGACCCCAGTTGGTAGGGCTCTTCTCGGGGAGATGATAGAACTTTTGGAGGTTGTTTTAGGTTTTCTATTGCTCTGCTAAACACCATGGCCACAAGTAGCTTGGGGAGGAAAGTTCATTCTGCTTACACTACCACATCACAGTCCATCATAAAGGCACATTAAGGTAGGAACTCAAGGCCAAGACCTAGAGGTAGGAATTGAAGTAGGGACCATGGAGAAACACTGCCTATTAGCTTGCTCCTTGTCATGGTTTGAATATGCTTGGCCCAGGGAGTGGCACTATTTGGAGGTGTGGACTTGTTGGAGTAGGTCTGTCACTGTGGGTGTGGGCTTAAGACCCTCACCCTAGCTTTCTGGAAGTCAGTCTTCCACTAGCAGCCTTCAGATGAAGATGTAGAACTCTCAGCTCTGCCTGCACCATGCCTACCTAGATGCTGCCATACTTCCACCTTGATGACGATGGACTGAACCTCTGAACCTGTGAGCCAGCCCCAATTAAATGCTGTCCTTTATAAGACTTGCATTGGTCGTGATGTCTGATCACAGAAGTAAAATCCTAAGACACTCCTCATGGTTTGATCATCCTGCTTTGTTATACAACTCAGGACCACCATGTCCAGGGATCAGACTGCCCTCTGTGGGATGGCAGTCCCACATCTATCAGTCTGTCGTCAGTCAAGACAACACTCCATAGACTTGCCTACAGGCCAGTCTTATGGAGGAATTTTCTCACTTGTGGTGTTTTTCTCACCAAGTTGATAGAAAACTGGCCAACAATGAGGTGGAGCCTTGCTAGAGGAAGAGAGCGGGCCTGAGACTCTTACAGCATTGGTCTATTTCCTGTCCTTTTGCTTTGTTTCCCTGGTGTGTATGAAAATGTGATCAGCCAGCTGTAGCTGTTGTCACATCTTCAACTGCTTTGGACTCTGACCCTCTGGAACTATACACCAGAGCAAATCCTTTCTTCCCTGAGTTGTTTTTGGTCATGGTATTTTATCACAGCAACAGAAAAGTCAACTAGTGCACCATCTGTGGGAAAGTCAGTCTCCCACAATCCAACTAATTATTTGTTTCTGAGGAGGGCTGCTTTTGCTTGAGTCTTTTTTTCACATTCTCTTCGGGCCTTTATATATATGTTCAATACAGGATCTATTTGAGTCTTTTATGGAGAAGGGTACACATATAGTTTCTATACTGGTGAGATTATCACCAAATTTGAATGTTAATACATGCATCTCTCATTTTGAAATGGTGTTACATAGTTTGTTTGCATTGTGTTTTCTTTGACCATTTCTTTCTTTTGGTGGCTATCTGAATGTTTCCTGTTTTTTCTATCACTAGCCACAGCTGGAATCAGTGTTTCTCTGTGTGCCATTTTACATTATCCAGACGTGGCTCCTTCCCAGGACAGAGATGATAGTGATGTGTGCAGTGTAAAGCATGTCCATTGACATCTACCGAGTACTGGGTGGGTACAGCTGAACTTCTTTGAGAAACTTAAGTTTCTCTGTTAAGAGAGCTGTGGGGAAATTGTTCACTGGTCTTCACCAGCACTTGCTATCATCAGTCTTTCTCACTTTTGCCTCGTTTATAAGTGGAGACTGTGAGGCACTAGACAAGTGAGCTTTTAAGTTTCAGTTCCCTTATGATGGCTACAAGAAATGGCTTCTCAGACATCTCTTAGCTATCTAATTAATTGTGGAGGGGAATGCTTATTAATTTCCTTTACTTCTTTGTTTCATTTCACTAAGACAGAGAAATGCAAGTACAAACCAAAACTTTGGTTTTTGTTTTCATGGTTTTTTTTTTTGAGACTAGATCTCACAGTGCATTCTAGGATAGTCTTCAATTTAAGATTTGACCAACCTCTCTCCAGGGTGGGGACTCCAAGTAGCACCACCTAGCACTGTGAATGATAAACAAGATTTGATAACACACTGACACAACAAAGACCCAGAAAGGGTCCATCCAGATGGCTCGGTGGATAAAGGCAACTGCTACCAAGTCTGACAACCTGAATCTAATCCCCAGGACCCACCAGGTAGAAGGAGAGAACAGATTTCTCTAAGTTATCCTCTGACTTCCACACACACATTATGACACATGTGTACCCCTTTCCATGCTCCCCACTTGCAATAAACAAACAAAATATAATAAAAATTTAAAAATAAAAAGACCCTTCGTGCTTGCATAGACAGATACCACTTAGTAAAGCCACCCTAAAATTTCATAGAAGTTATTTTACTCTCTACACAGTTATTGCTAAAATGTAACCTCAAGCTATTTGAAAATATTCCAGTTGTCTCACGCGAGGTGAGATCAGAGTTCATCTTTTTATACTACTGAATACAAAATGTTCAGGGTCATTTACTGGCTGAGTATTCTGTTTCCCCAAGACATTTGTTATTTGCATTATCCCTTAAATGGTCTAACTTCCCTCTAACATCGATCCAAATTTTGTACTGGCACCCTTGGTTTTTGTTTCTATTTAATTATTATTATTTTTTAACAAGGAATGCCTTTGTGTTTATATGGAAAGAAAGGGCACACAGTTTCCTCTTCCAAGTGTGAACAATGGTTCTCTGTTGCTGCAGGTAGGACTTTCCAAGGCTCAGTAGAGCTCCCTAGGATAGGTCTTTGTGTAGTAGCTTTACCTTCTGGGTGGAAGATGTTTGCTTGTTGGGTGGAAGGTGTTAGGGTTGCTTTGGGAACATTGGGGTTCTCATAAACCCATCACTTTTTATAACTGTTGAGAATTTAGAAATCAAGGGACTAAAGCTGGCGACACAGAGAAGCAGTCAGCTTGATGCAGGAAGTGTATGAAAACTATGCAAATGTATGTACATGATAGGAAATGCTGCAGGAGAGAGAGGTGGCTAGCCAGACTTGTGCTAGGCTGATTGTATAAGTTGAGGAGAAGGTGGTTCTCAAAGTCCTTATGTGAGAGGGTCTAGCAATGTCTGGGAACTACAGGGCTTTGGGGTATAGGGAGTAGAGAGCCAGAGGAGGTAGGTTATAGCCTTATTAACTAAATGTAGTCACTGTTTATTCACTGACTTGGCAAGTACTTCTATAGCAGTGGTTGATATGTTGAATAGTGCTTAAGTATAAGCCATATAGTGAGAAAGATGAAGGACATCTCTATTCTTTTAGAGATTGCATTTGAAGAGAGACTGGATCTGTCTGGTGTGGTATCCATCTTACCACTCAGGACACGAAGGTGGGGTAATGGGTACTTTGAGACCAGTGTGGGTTGGTGCAAGGTTGACCTCAGCTACATGAGGAGATACTGTCTCCAAAAAACAAACAGGGAAGATAATTGTGTGTGAATACGTATAGCTGATGCTGTTAAAACAAAACAAAACAAAAGTCTTTATTTTTGTACACATACTTGAGAGCATGTGCCTGGGTTTTTGTGTTTGTGTTCCTGAGAAGAAACTGAGGAGAAAAGGTCACAGAGGAAAATAAACTCACACTGGGACCCTTTCCTGGTAACCTGGCAGGGACTTTTAGCCTGGCCAAGGGTCACAGAACACACCCGTGTCACTGATGACATCACAGAATAAAGCCAGGATCCTAGTGACCATGTGGCCACTCAGGCTGGGGCTGGCTGGAGGACTTCAGCACAGCCCACACCAGCTCTCACTAAGATTCAGGGTGCTGGTTTGAAGTCATGAAACGCCATCTCATGGAGCACAGGGGAGAACAGACACCAATCAATGGGACCGCCGTGGGCATGGCCAGCCCAGACACCGCAGAGGAGAGCACAGGAGTGTGCTGGCCAGGTGGTCAATAGATGGGGAAAGGGATCAAAGGGGTGTGTTGATCACACAAAGCAGATGAGAAAAGTGGTCTTTGGGGGAAGCTGGTACTTATTATGCTGTTGTGCATCTATAGGGCTATTTCAGGAGATATGTAGACAAGAATGAGACCTTTATTGATTTTGATGTGTGCTTAAAGAAAAAATAATGTTAATCCTGTAAGATCTGTAGTAACATAAACACTCCTTTATAGTTCATGGACACTTGCTATCTAGAATGCCAACTCATTGGATACCAAGGTGTGTCTGCAGGCAGCACTTTAGAAGATCTGCTCTTGAAGTCAAGGGGCTCTATTTGTTATGCAGATTCTCTGCCTCAGTTTCCTTGGTGGGATGAAAATCATGAGAGTGAAATTTCTTAGGCTTGCTGTGAATCTTAAAGGAATGAAGACATAGTACACTCTTACATGGTGACAGGGACACAACAAGTTTCCAAGGAGTGGATGAGAGGCCACCCGAGATAGAGATAAGTCACAAACAGAGATGGAGAAGCTGGGGTGTCACTACTCCATAGCTCTGTTCCATTCTTGGTTTTCAAGTGTGTTTTGTTGAACTGATGTCTGCACAGTATGTGATGTGTACAGTGGAAGGAACTGTGACACTGTTTATGTGACAGTCACAGCCAAAGCACAGACTATTATCATCACCCCCAAGAGTTCCCTAAGGCTCCTTTATGTCCTGCTTATCCCTCCAGCTCTTGGTAACTGTTCTGTCCCTACAGATTTGCTTTTTCTAGAATGCCTTCTAAGTGAGATCAGGTGATGGCTTCTTTCATTTAGCAGGTGCATTACTTTTTGTGTCTGTTCTGCACACATTCCTTGTTTATTTTAATCCATGAATACAATTGCATTCTGTGGTTGCACCACAATCTACTTTCCAGTTTATCAGGTGTTGGCTTTTTACACTTCAGTTGATAACATTTACACATTGTTTTATCCTTATCTCCCTGTGAGATAGTTTTATGGTCATCTCTGATGAATAACACACACCTTTCCAAAGCCGCCAGAGCCTGCATGGTTTTTTGTGATTTCTCAGGAAAGTTACGCTTGAAGCCTTTCTGAGCACACTGATGAAACTGTCCTTCCACTTCTCAGGGACCATGAAGAAGAATGAGTCATCTCCGCGGCCAGGGCCTGCCTTCCTCCCAGAGGACGACATCTATTTGGCAGCCCGGGCACAGGGCGTGCTGGGCTGGAGCAGCTCTCCATCATCCCAGTCGTCCTCTGAGTATCAGTCTTATTCTCAGTACCAGTCCTGGGACTCTAGCAAGTCCGAGGAGCAGCAGGAGACGCCACCTGAGAGCGTGTGCGCCCTGTATACCCACGTGCAGACCGTGCGTGGCGTGGCAGTGGCTTGGGAGACTGACGATGGCTTCGAGCCAGTCACCAGGAAACCCCTTATCCGGGAGGCCGAGTTCATCAAGCGTCAGCGGCGGAAAGGCTCCTCCTTCGAGATGGCCTCCAACACAGACCTGCGCTGGGAGCTGGAAGCCTGTAAGCACTACTGCCCTCAGACTGAGGACCCTGTGGACTGCTGCATGCAGGAGCTACGAGCACCACCAGACTGGCTGGTCACCACTAACCACGGCTTGCGCTGTGTGGCCTGCTGCAGAGTCTTCCCTACGCTGGAGGCGCTGCTGGATCACGCCCAGCATGGGATCCAAGATGGATTCAGCTGCCAAATATTCTTCGAAGAGATGCTGGAAAGGAAGCGGGCCCGGGATCAAAGGCAGGACCAGCAGCCTGTAGAGGAGGAGCAGAGCCCTTCGGACAGTAGTGAATGTACCAGGCTCCAAACCAAGGTGCTTCCCCGGCAGCAGCAGCAGCAGCAGCAGCAGCAGCAGCAGCAGCCGTCGCAGCAGCAGCCACAGCCGCAGCCGCAGACTCAGCCACAGCCACAGCCACAGCCACAGCCACAGTCACAGAAGCAGCAGCAGAGGCAGCAGCAGAGGCAGCAGCCGCCGCCACCGCAACAGCAGCAGAAACAACAGCCACTGCAGCAACAGGGAAAGTAGAGATCGGAGGTGAGCTGCCCGCCCTCCCTCCATCATTTTGGATTGCTGCTCCTTTTCCAGCCAGCCGGACCAGAGCCACCAGAGCAGGGGGAGAGGACCAGGGTGGTGGGGGGAAAGCCATCCATGTGGCATGTGGAGCAGCAAAGGTGGGCGGAGTGGGAGCCTTTCCCCAAGGCGGAGCATTTCCACTAGAGTCCATTTCAAAACCCGAATCCAAAGAAGAGGGCTTCAAGAGTTCCTGATGGTGGATGCAAGATGGGAACCAGGCAAGTGTGTGGCCACAGGGATTTGTATTTTTGCTGAAGGATCAGCAGCAGTCCACACTTGCTGTTCAAGTACAAGTGACTCACAGGGGAGCCAACTGCAAATGAAGCTTCGGCTCTATTTTTTTCATTGTTAGGAATCTGTCATATGCCCTAAATCTATGTCTTATGTTGTTGGGATTAAACTTGAATAAGACAAAATGGTACCCAATGTCTTGAGTGAACCATGCTACCAGGTTGGGTTTGTAAGTGGGTGGCTGTGTAGGTGAGCCATGCAGCTTCATAGAAACTGGTGCTTGGGAAGTCCTTCTTTCCTGTCCATTCAAACACATTTCAAATGTTATCAATCTGGTCCACACCCTCTTCCTAACCATTACAGAGAGCCGAGGGGAGCAAACAAAGACCTCAGCCAGGGTCACTGGGTTAGGAATATGGCTGAGGGAGCCTGTGTGAGTTGAGTAACCCTTAATAGAAATACCTGGAGTCCAGTCATTTCACACTCTTCCAGAAGCTGGACTACTTGCATATGCACAATGAGACATATTGGGAATATGATCTAAATGTAAACAAAATCCATTGATCTCATACATGCCCTATATGTTTACCCAGAAGGGATTCTACCTAACATCTTCACAGTGCCTGTTTTTCACTGTGCTCAATCCTCAGTATGTGGGATCAAGTGTGAAATCTTCTGCTTCTGACATATGCCAGTACTTAGAAGGCTTCAGACTGGCAGCTGGTCACAGCTTGTGTTTGTGTTCCTGGGAGTGGGGATGCTCAACCTGTACGCAAGCTCCATGGTGCACACGACAAAGTAAGTCGTAAAGCAAAGCGTTAATCTCATTCGGAAGGTTCAAGGACCCAAGAAGAGGGGCTCTAAGATAAGCCATTTGGTCAGAAGGTGCTCATACACCAAATAGGCCAGACAGAATACTATGAGGGTTTGCAAAGACAGCATTGCTGACACTGAGTTAAATGGTTCTTTGAGGAGGCCATGGGTATTCCCTCCTATGACAATAAAAGATACACACAGGTAGTAGCTGTGCCACAGTGGTAAGATTGCTCCTGGTTAAGAACGCATGAGCTAGGGAAAACGAGGGCCTTTGGAGGTAGAATGACTCAGTATGTACAGACACCTGCCATCCACTTGAGCCTGCAGCAGCGATGGAGGTAATGCTCTTCATGCTTTCAGTGAAGACATAGCACCTACCATGTGGCAGACACAGACTATGGACAGGAGAAAGAAGAGGATCAAAGAAATGAAAACAGAGGTGGGTATGGTTTAGGAAACCATATGGCCAGTGGGTGAACTGATTAAAATAATTGCAAAAATCTTTTCCCTGACCTGCAGGACACTGCCTCGGCACTATCTGCTTCTCTGGCTATGCTCTGGCTACACTGGCGTCTCTTAAAGTGTTAAGATTTCAAACCTTAGAGCTTTGGCACACATACTCAAGTGGGATGAAGTTCTTCCCTATCTTCTGGCCAACATGTTGCTCTTCTCTGGATTTTTCTCCACCATGTAACCTTAGCTTACACCTCATTCCATGTGCTGGTTTAAGGAAGCAAGTGACAAGATCAGCCCACGTCTTTAAAAGCACACTGTTGAATGAATGTAAGAATCGGGAACGTAGCAAAAGGAAAAAGAGGCGGGGAGATTTGTAAGCTAGGCAAGAGTCTAGGCCAAGGATGATGATGATCTAGTTGGGACGAGAGGAATGATTTCATTCAAGATGTATTTGAGGAATCAAGTATGAAGGTCTTGAGGACAAAGGAAAGTGTGTGCCAAGATAGAGTCGTCAGTTGATAGGAAATAATACTTGCTACCTGGTGGAAGATTGCAGTATGTTTAATGTGGACATATGTGCACATGTGGGTGGGTGTGAATGTGTTTGTGAGCATCCACATGTGTGTGCCTTACATGAGCATGTCTCTGCATGTGCATGGTTTGCATGTGGACGTAGTTCTGAGATACTGGTCACCTGGGACATGAGAATCTTAAACACTAAAGGTAAGATCAAGCAGTGATGTTGACTGTGAAGTGGTTTCTGAGTTAGACCAGGAGACAAGTCTGACTCAGAACCATAAATGAGGAGGCTAACAGAATTCCAACAGAAGCGGATGAAACTCTAGGGAGCTGGAGTGGAGTTGGACAGGATGGGCTGGGAAATAGAACTGAGTAGTCCGGGAAGATAGCTCAGCTTGGAACAAAAAGACCAAGAAATGGGGAGGGGATACTTCATAGGGTTATTCTTCTGAGCCAACTGATGTAAGGAAATGTGGTTCTCAGACAAGGGGAGCAGCGCCAACTGCTAGGGAAGTTGGGTGAGCTGAGGATGAAGCTACCATTTCCTTTGGGTTTTATGAAGCAGGCTCAGTGGCTGAGAAGAGCAGAGGTCAGATGGGCACTGGTCAGGTTTAGCCATGAGACAAATCTCTAGGGGCAAGTTTGAAACTACCTTGGTGGCAAAGAAATGATGGACCAAAAGGAAACTGAGAATGGAAGTAAGTGTGTATATTCTAATGAAAATAACCAGTGGAGGGGGAGAGAGAGAAATTGAAGATGAAGCCAGAGAAATCAAGAACTGAGGCAGAGAGGGGTGAAAAGAAAGAAAAAAAACTGACATGGAAATAAGCTTGTGTTCTGTTGCATGCAGATGGTAGTCAAGCAGGGCTTTCGAGAACAAGTCACAGAACCTGAGTTCTCACCCCTTGGAACTATCAAGGAGTCCTTGAATGTTCAACAAGTCAGACTGCATTTGTGAACGACACCAGTGAACATGGTGGAGGAAAGAGATGAGCAGTTTGGCTGGGGACAAGGGGTCCATGGAGTCTGACAGCTGGGGGAATTCAAGTGAAATTCAGAAGGTGGTGACTATGGTACCTGGCTAGTATCCACTGAGGGAGGTGACCTGGCATTTTCTTTGGGTGTGTGGTGGTGAATGTTAGAGCTAAAAGAATGGAGTTGGGGTTGAGGAAAGAGGAGGAGATTCATTTGGATGCTGAATAGTAAGCTTGAGAAGTATCTAGAAGGGTGCTGGTTTGAAAGGTGTGGGATGCCAAAGGGTGAAACTTAAGAGTGGAGATAAGTTATCATTACCTACTGTGTATGATTACCTGAGACCATGGTGTGTTCCATGGGCCTCACGTAGGATGTAGCCCCTCTAGCCCCTCTATGGGTTCAGAGAATCAGGCATGAGGATATCATCCATTTAAAAAGGCAGTCTGAATGTGCTTTGAAAGATGCTGCAGGATCCATGTTGTCTGTAGTCAGCTATTGGGCGTAGGAGGGGACTCAGTAGGTAGACTCTAAGCACACTCTAAGGAAAGAAGAGACTGTTGAGCTAGAAACACTAATGAGAAAGGAATATTTTTATGTGAAATTCAGTAGATGGTGATACTAAGGTCAGATACAGTAGCTCAAGTCTAGAGTTCCACCCTTCAAAGGCATGTTTACATGAGCTCTGATACTCTCAAGACTTTGTGTAAAGACTTCGTGTTGATGTCATAGCTCTATCCATACTAAGTCATGTACATTCTCTACAGCCCCACAAGATGTGGTTCCTAGCCTTAGTTCTCTTTTGTTGCTGAGTGACCCAAGACTTCATCAAGGTCTCATGGGTGCTGTGTGTAGCTTGGCTACAAACTGTATTCTAACCATACCACCAGGAATCCAGCTTGAATTGAAAGACAGATGAAGGTACCTGGGAAGGCATACATGTCTAGTCCCGCTGGCTGTGCTGATTTTAGATTAGATTAAATGCCAGCTGAAGAACAGAGAAGAGATGAAGAGGATGCTGGGCAAATGAAGGATGATGGGAATCTCAGGTAAGCAAATCTGGAAGGAGCTCTTTGGATGATGTGCATGGGAGAGAGGGTAAAATTATGCTTCTCACAGTGACTGGCTTCTAAAACATCTTTAGCTCAACAGCATTGGACATTCAGTTGTGGTTTAAATATCACTTTTCTGGGACCTCCACATAAGGCTAGTACCAGATGAAAAACCCTTCCCTAGTTTTCAAGGGACCACAAACATTTGTGGAGAATAGATCTCATTTCTTGCATGAAGCCGATAATAATAAAGCCTAGCAAGGATGGCATTAAAAGGCAAATGATGTATTAATCTCTCTCACACACACATGGTCATCAAATTTAACCAAGTTTAAAAGTATAATTCACCTTGACTGAGTTTCAGTTATCTTTTGGTAAGGATAGCTAAAAATATGACTTCTGGCAATCATATTGAAAGAACAATCCCATGATTCAATAAATATGAAGAGGACATATTGAGCCTGCACTCGCTCTAGGCCACACACTTCTCTGCTCTTCATGTCTCTCTATTTTTTATAATTCTTGTGCTTAAATCTGTATTAAAACCCTTTCCTACTAGACTCCAGTCTTGCTGCAAAAATATTATACAAACATGATAAGCAATAGCCAGTGATCCCCTGTATTTGTGATCAATTGCTTTTCAGATACGGACACCAAGCAAGGCAATTCAATTGGCTAAAATTAATCTTTCCAGCAAATGAAGCCAGACAACTAGATATCTGAAGGCAAGGAGTAGAATTGAGGAGCTGGAGAGATGGCTTAGCAGTTAAGAGCACTTATTGTTCATGTAGAGGACCCAGGTTCTCAGAACTCTCATGGCGACTTACAACTGCCTTTAACTCCAGGGGACCTGATGCTTCATTCTGGCCTCCATGAGCATCTGAACAAACATAGTGCATATACATACACTCAGGTACACACACATGCACATAAAAATAAATCTTTAAAACACAGAATGGAGTTGAATTCC